AAGGACTATTGATTTAACTGTCTGGAGGAAATGCATTAGATACACATTTTGGTTGAAAGTCAAATGTTAGAATCAATAATTGACTGGAGTCAGATATCCAAGAATAGAAAGAATTCTTTGGAGACAAGATTCAGTCTGAAACTATCGAACATTGTGAAAGTTACTATTTGAAAGGTTGACATTATGATGAAGGAAATAGAACTGATCCACACCCTCCGCTGCTGGGCTGTTCCAGGGCTCCCTCTGCAGCCCCACAGAGACACTTGCTCGTGTCAGACTAAAGCGTATTGTCCACCACTCAGGAAATCTCAAGAATCCTGCTGAAAATGTTTAGCAGTTGTAACAGTTACTTTGACAAGCTTTTATTATTTCATTCTTTGGTTTCCATAAACTAAAACTATAAGCAATTGATTTCTTCACTGTGAATTTTTGACTAGTGAGAACAAAATATGAATTGAGTTTCTCTCATTTCTCTGACATTTTCTACCTACCTGTTTTTTATTCATTTGATCAACATTTAGACAGCTCCTGCCCATTGTACTGGCCACCATTTCAGAGATGGGGAGATAGCAGTAGAGAAAGGACAGAAGTTTCTCCCTCTTGGAGTTTATATTCTAGGACTTGGAAAGACAGGCAATAAGCAGAATGATAAGTAAAACATATAGTGTATAAATAGTGTTAAATGCCATAGCAGGGCAGAGGGAGGTGAGGAATTTTCTATTATGACTGGATTGAGGTGATCTCTCATGTTGATCTTGGAGTTTTTCTTTCTCATGGAATTTTTTTGGGCCAAATTTGACATATAACAATAATTCTTCATAACAAGATAATAAAGAGTTCCCAGCTAGGACACTTCTTTCCCTGAACAACTCATTGTCTAAATGCAATTAAGTAACTGAAAATTAAATACATTGTTTAAAGGTTATTTTGTTTAATGCAAGTATAGCAGTTCTACAGAGACTTGAATTTTCACATAATCTCCACTCTGCTTTTCTGAGTTATAGTATTTGAAATTTGATAGATATTTGTTGGCAGAAAAATGATGTGTTTTTCCTAAGTCTGTCTTCCAAACACACGCTCTCTTGGTATTTTCTCTGCTAGCAGTTTATTCTCCTTTGGAGTGAATAATTCTTTGTAAATTTTTCTGGATAAACTTAGCTGCCTTCACACTAAGTGTTTTTTTTTTTTTTGCAGCATTTTCCTCTTACAGTATTAAAGATACTTTTATATTTCACCTGACTCAGAGAATTACAACGTATCAAGTGCTTAGAAATTTCACTCCATTTATTTCCAGTTTGTTTGCCACTTTCAAATTGTTTATTTGGTTCTAAACAATAAGGTCTAATGATATTCCCTGTTTGTGCTGCTTTCATGGGGACCCTGCTTAGATGTGTTTGTGATGTGTGTGGCCCCATAGTAGTGTCACTTGTGTGATCAGGGAGGCCAGCAATGCCATCGAATTGGATATTTAGCTACTTGATTATTCCATATTCCAACAGCTGAGTCTAAAGCTAAAGTATAACAACAGATATTGGCCAAATACTGAGACCAGCCCATGTTTTCCAATTTAGTCATTTCTCACAAGGGCACAGAAGCATCAGATAGTGGAGTTTCTCCTCCCTGTCTTCTGTATCTCTGGCCACCTCAGTGTGGGACTTGGTATTGAGAGAGTTTCACCAGATTCATTCTGATTCTGAGAGTTATTAACTGAGTGGTAGTGTTTTTGCCCATCTCTATGTGTGGAGACCACCCCCTCCTCAGCCACCATCTTGCTGGTCTAGATGCACAACAGGCAGATGTAGTCTTGATGCTGTGACTTCATTTGGAGCTATGAGATCCTATGACTTTCCAACAGATAGCTCCATTTGCCCACATGATGCAAGTACAGCATCTTTTGACAGTGACACTGAGCTTGAGTTTAAACAATCAAAAGCATTTAAATCTTAACTCTAGCACTCAACTCACACCCAACTGAAACAATTTGCAAAATTAAACTGCATCTAAAAATAGGCTGGCTTTTGCTTTTTTGAACCTGTGATTTTATTGTCTGCCTCAAAAGAGAAGCCAACAATAAGCAGCATCCATGCACAGCTCATGAGAAGGGGGAGGGGAGCCAAATTTGCTAAAAATGCTAAATGCAGGTCCATATTGTCTCTCTAGGATCACTCAGGTTGAATGGAGGTGAAATTCACTCTTCAGGGGTCAGCCATTTGTTAGCCATCACAGACTTGGTGTGTTGAGTACTCTGAGGAAGGAACCCGTCTTATCTCTGGAGCGGACACCCTATCTGTAATGATTTGCTTCCTCCTGCATCCTGCCAGCTCCTCCCAGATTGCAATTGCAAAGCAGGAAATTCCTCCTGGCCCTCTGGGTGCGACCTCATGCCCACCTCTTTCTGAATATCACCTGCTGCCTGTGCACACTGTATCCTCCTTCACACACGAATAGTGACTGGCCTACTGGTTGCCCCTTTCTTCTTCAGGTATCTGAGAGATCTGCTCTTATGTCCCAAACACCTAGCACAGCGTTACATGAGGAGTCAGTAAAAATCATCACTATCACTTCTACTCTGACTTGTATTACTGCTTTGCTGCTGCTTCCGCTGTGGCCAGGAGAGCTGGTAGGCTTGCATGAGCCCCTTCAACAACAGAGAAATGCTCCCAGTTCCACATTGGGGTGTCTTATCTGCCACCCACAAGAGACAGGTTTGGCGAAGGAAGATGGGGAGGCATGATGGGTGGAGGGAAAAGTCTGAAAGTTCATAACAAAACCACTCTCTGGCAAATGGCAATAGGATTATTATGAATTTGTTTTAACTTTTGCATTCTTAAAAACATTTGTAACATGGATACTCACTATTTTCTGTCCAGTGTGTTGGGTTTTCCACTAAAGTTATGATTGGCCTGAGCACGGTGATACTGTGGGGAGCAATGCGAATTTGACGTATCTGACATGTTTTATCAATAATTAAGTAAACATTCATCAACGTAATGAAACTGAGCAAATCTCTTGGCCTGAGTTTTAGTTTTATTTGAAAGTTTAGGTTAATATCCTCAGTTCTCTCTTAGCTTTTTGGAAGATATAAAAAGTTAAATAAATGTGGTGGTGTTAGATAAGCTGCTAGATCCTAGACAGAACAGCGTGCTGTGATATGGCTGTGACAGTTTTTTTCTTATGAATTTCCAGTAGCCAGTTAACTGGATTTGGAGGCAAAAGCTGGTCTGGTTGGGAGTAAGTACCAGACATGAGGAATAAAGAGCAAAGCCATTCCCCCACACTCCCTTTCTGATTATATGACCAGAAAGTTACTGAAAAGAGAATCTTCAAGCTCCCTAGCGCCATGATCCCCTGCTGTGAGGAGGAAGTGGGCACGTATCTCTGAAGGCACCTGGTATATCACAGGTGCTTCACTGGTATTTTTGGAGCTCACCTCCAGGGATGGGAGAGGTCAGGTGAATCAACATGGTTGCAGGCAGGCAACATGCAGGGAGGAAAAAGGTCTGACTGGGGCCCATGTGACTGAGCAAGTCCCATAACAGCTCAAATCCCACGTCCTCAAATGTGAATGGGGAGGAATAATCATGGTAATAATACCTTTAAAGATCTCTTAGAGTCATTAGACAGGTGAAAGTAAAATATCCCCAGACATATTAAACAGGCTCAAAAATTTGGTTTATTCACCCCACCAAGCTGGAGTTGTACCTTTGAGAGTTCTCATTTTTAAAAATAGTTTAAACCATGTTGAGCTCTAGATTATAGTGCCTTCCTTTCTCTTGATACCTTTCTGGTCTTCCTTTCTGTTGATACCTGGCCCTGCCCTCAGCTGAGGAGACACCTTCCCCCAACCCCTCCTAGAACATAGGGCCTGATATTATCCATCTCTATCACGAGGATGGGGTTGTATCATGAGCTGCAACACTAATGACAACACCTAGCATGTACTGGACTTTTCACTGTAAATCCCCAGTGATTTCCCAGTCCCTGGGGCAGATTCTGAAGCTCCAGGAAGTCTCCCAGTTAGTAAGTGCAGAGGCAGGATTTGAACCCTGGTACCTCACATCCTCGACCCCTTTCAGCTCTAAGGTCCTGTTCCCTGGGGTTGGGCTTGCAGATGTCCCAGCAGGTGCTGCTGTATGTGGATGCCACTCAGAAGTAGTTAGGTTGGCAGTTAGTTTTACTGGTCAGTCTAGAGAGGGGACTGGGGAGTAGTCTTGGTTGTTAACTTCTGAGAGTTTCTGACAGGTTTTTTGTTAGAGAGGAATAGAAAGGTTGCCCTGCCAGAATAGTAACAGGGCTTCCAGAAGAGGGACAAGCAGAGGAGTAGCCTGCCAGTGGCCCAAGGTGAACATCGCAGGGGACCCTGGTGCTTCAGACACTGAGGGCTCTGGAGACCTTGACAGAGGTGATGGTTCTTCCCTGGCCCCACGCTCCTGCGAGGTCAGGGGAACTGAGCGAGCCTGTGAGAATTACTAGTCAGAAGGCAGTTCCCTCTGTTTCTGTTTAACACGGTTTCCTAGGGGTTGTCCTTTCTTCTTGTCCCCAGTGTTGGGGAGTCCACCCTCTTTTGGGCCACTCTCCTTTTCCTCCTCCATGCAGCTCACAGAACTTAACCCTCTGATTGTTAAACCACTGGAAAGATGCCCTTCTGGGCCGCCCAGCAGTCTCAGCGTGAGCTGTACAAGTGTCTCTGGACCTGGATGTTGAAGTCAGCCAATAAATCTGCAATTATGATGATTGTCTTTGCCTTTTGGACATATTCTCATTGCATCTGAGGACGGATGCATTTTTCTCAGACTTTCACTCTTTATTATGAAATATTCCAGTCATGCGTTCTGATGGCTGGAAGAGTGAATTAATAGTAGTCTCATCACCCTGGAGACGCAGCTGCTTCTGTGAGCTGGCGCTAAGGTAAGGCTGCACGTCTCTGTGGGAATGACAAGTGAATGAGTCCGCTGCTCACTTAACCTGCTGTTCTTTTCTCTCCCTATTTTCTCTCCTAGGAAACAGATGGAGGACTGCTGTGACCCCGCCCATCTCTTTGCAATGACTAAAATGAATTCCCCCATGGGGAAGAGCATGTGGTATGATGGGGAGTTTTTGTACTCATTCACCATTGACAATTCAACGTATTCTCTCTTCCCCCAGGTTAGTATAGAGTTTGTTTGCCTTTCGATCTCGTTTTTTGTGTGTCTTGATATGACAGAAAAGGGGTCATTAAGTTTGTCTCACTCATCAGATCTACTTCCCTCTTTCTTCTCTTCATTTTAAAGATGTCATTTTCCTAAAGAATTCACTTAGCATCTTGATGCAAGGGCAGATGGAGGATATTATAGAGTTGCAGCTCTCCTGACGCCTCTGATTTGAGTCCATGAGACTGAAAGAGTCTAGCCGAGGATAGTGGGGCAGCTGGGGAATGCTAGTTTTGAGGTCGGCTGTGGGATGCTTTCGAAGATTTGTGACCCCGGAATGTTTTCTTAGACCGTCTGTCACCTCACAGAGTGGGGGTCATATGGTCAGAAGGTGGCATCTGAGAGCTCTTGACTCTTAACCCTGCGGCCAGGCTAGGAAGTGGAGGACTACGGAATAAGGAGAGAAATAATTTGACATTTGAAGTGGTCCACACCAAGCTTTGCTTTCTCAGTGATTTTCTTCTTGACTTCCTGAGCATTGAAAACCATTGTTTTACTGGAAATATGTCCGCCACAAATGGAGAAAAGAGGAACCCTTTATTTCTAGGAAGCACTTGTTGGAGCAGAGGATGAATCTTAGAGGTGGAATTGCCATTCGGGGGAATTGAGAAATGAGTATTGGCCTTCCAGAGTGTTCTGACCTCTCGTTGGGCCAGTGATAGTGCAGAGAGAATTGCTGGTTAGAGCTAGAAAACGCAGCTGCACCTTTCATGTAGCTGTATTAATGGCAAAGAGCCATCAAAGGATCCTGTAAAGTTGAGGCACAGACTTCCAGGTCCAGAGTCACACTCTCAAAACAAATGGCTAAAACAAGCCCCAAACACCCGAAGTCACCCTCTTTACAAAAAAAAAAAAAAAAAAATCCCCTATTTCCTAAGCTGTTTTAGTCTACTTTAATGGTTTCAGAGAATAACGATAAGTTTATTTTTTATTTCTAAATGGAAAATAGTTTAACTCACTGCCAGCATTCATGTGCTTTTTCTCTTTTCCATTTGCCCTTTGGAGGCTTCCTCGTGTCAAAGGAAATGACTAAAAGTAATATGGTGGAATTAAATGTTATTTCCACCTCTGACTAACTGAATACCTTGATAAATCCACTAACTCTTCTTTGATTCTGGCCTTCTCTCCTCTCCTGCTATCTCACCAGATATTATAAATATCTGGTGTTAATGCCACTCTGCTGACCTTGGACTGTCACTCTGCTGACCTCAGACTGCGGAAGGAAGTCTGTGATTGCATCTGTCAGTGTACAAAGCAAGAAAATCTTTCTAGGTATTTTTGGCAGAAAGACATTTTTACATTGGGAATTAGGTGCTTAAAAATCATTAGGAGAATGGAGAAGTGGAAATCGTGAGGTGACTTGGGCTTACTGAATTCAAGAACCTACTTTTCTACAGTGCTGGGAATATAGGTTCCAACCCACCTCCTACTTCCCAGTCTCACTCAAGTGCATCTAATGGGTAAGATTCATTCCCCGCTGGAACACTAGTGCAGAGAAGTCCAGGAGAGGCTGTTTTTAACTATCAAGTTTTAGCAGGAAGCTGGAAAACAGGAAGCTGGAATAGAGGTCGAGGAAGTCATTCCACATAATCCTCTTTGTATAAAAGTGATAACAACTCTGTATGAAATGCAGAATACATAAGGAAGCAATCTGCTTTGATAGCTCATCAAGCAGAAGCATTTTTAAAGAAATCCAATATCTGCTTTTGTAGATGAGGGCTTTCAGTCACACCAACTGACTTCTAATGTTGCACTAGAAAATATATATGAAAAAAGCAGACGACCGATGAAGATGTCCTAGTCTCCTTCTTGTCTGTCAGTTGTAGTAGGAGACAACATTGTCTTTTGAAAGCATGTACACTAGAATTCTGTGGCACTCTGGTCTCATTGCAAGATCAAAGAAGCATCCTTGACTAATTAAAGGAAAAATATGTTTTAGAAGTCATTACATCACTTTGTGTGCACAGTCTTTTGTCTTAACCAAATGAATGGATTTTTTTCCCAAAGGGTACTTGTGTCTATTGCAGCTGAGATTCTGAGATGACTCATCAGTTTGTAAGAATCCGTTTGTATCACTAAAAGGGTGGTGTTGACCCCCCCATTCCTTCACCTCATTATTATTTCTTGGTGAAATATTTCTGGTTTATTATCAGGAATCTAAGTTGCCAGTTAATTGAATGCTTCATGTTCCCTGTGGGCAGGAAGCCCTGTGTGTGCCCCGCCTTGGGCAGACAAGCGGGCAAGTGGGCTCCATGTTGTCAGTTCAACAAAGCATCCCTCCTTTCCCTGAGTTTTAGCAACATAATGCCGAATGGAATCATTTGTTCTGCTGTTATTCTTTTGCTTGCTTATCTCTACTGTTTTTGTTGTTGTTTTGTGGCCAAGAGGCAGTACAGGATGTTTCCTGTGTTGTGGGAAGTCAACCGGTCTGGAATCAGGGCTCTGTCTACCCAGGAGGGTCCTGGGAGATGCTGTGCTCCTTGAGAAACTGCTGTGAATCTCCTTAACTACAATGAGTTGCTGCTTCTTTGGATCATCCACAACTTCCTTTAGCTTTATTATCAAATTTATTCCATCCTAGCACATGCAAGGATAGGTGTAACCACATGTCTGCGTACCCTAGTTGCTTATGTATCTACATAGCCACATATTGCTAAAAGTCTTTCCTACCGACCTCAATATCATCTTGGGAGCTCTGAGAACAAGAGGCGTTTTCCATTTGGCCTAGGACAGTGCCCATGTGTTTGCCAGTGCCTCTGTGTCTCTGTCCTACCTGGGCAGAACCACTGCAGTGCTCTTGCTTGAACTGTAGAGGAGAAAGCAGGATGTTTTGATGCAGCTTTTTCCAGATGGCTCTACAGATGTATTTAGTTGAAATCATTTTTGAATATTATTTGGCATGAAAGGCCTAATTTTAGCCCTTACATGGTCTGTGCAGTGTGTGTGTATGTGTGTGTGTGTGTAGGGCACAGGCGATCATACACTTTGAGAATACCCCATTTTCTGGCCTGGGTTTAACTCTATCTTGCTTAGCCAAGGACTGTCCCTTTTAAACCTGTATAGTCCCTTGTTTGTAGATACCCCTAAATAATTCTGTTTTGGCCTACACATATGTATGTTCAGAAAGAGCATACATTTCCTTGGATATGAGCAAGGGAGCATCAAGAATGACTCATGACTGTGCTGATATCATTTAAAAAAAATCTGGTCACCATAAGCTCCCTGAAATGTTTCACTCAGCTGCATCCACTGCCCTTGGCTGGTGGGAAGCCCAGCAAGACATTTTGAAAGTAGTTTTGTCAAAATGTCTTTGTTAAAATGAAAGTGCACATCTCTCCCTCTTCACTTATGTGCTTGATAGGATCCTCTGAACTCCTGATCCTCCTTAGCTTTGCAGCACTTTCCCCGCCCTCTCTGCCTTTTTTGTCTTCCAATGAAAGTTGGATGATACTTTATCATCCCCAGCATTTGATAGCTTACCTTATTATAAATATTACTATGCTGTAATCATTTTCTCAAGCACATACCTTTTTGACATGAGGAAATGAATGCTTGGTGGGCACAGAGCTTTTCCAGCTCTCTGTTGGTTTCATGTTGCTGGGTTTGCATTGGCTGCTTTCTAGCAGAAACCTGATACAAAGGCTTAGCTCAGTAGGTGCTTAATTGTCTCAAACAAGAAAGAATTGGGAGGTGGATAGTTCAGGGCCTGATGATGCCTACATGTGCCATTGAGCGCCCAGGCTGGAGCTAGATTTTCGTCCTGCTCGCCATCTGTAGGCTAAGGAGCCTCCAGATTTGGCCCAAGGTCCCTGCAAGAAGAAGGAGGAACAGAAGAGGAAATATAGAGAGCTTCCTGCTGGCACATCATCGGTCAGAACTAACTGGTCATGGCCATGCATATCTGCAAGGGAGTCTGGCAGTTCTGGTTTTTCAGCTCTAGGCAGATGTACGACATGTACCCATCTATACTGCCTGCTTCAATTTTTTTCACGTTCTTACCCTATCCTTACAACAACTCTGTGTGGTGGTTATTATCCCCCTCATGCCATGGATAAAACTGAGACTGAGAGACTTAAGGTGCTTACTAGTTTCTGAGCTGGCAGGTGGAATGGCAGGGATGTAAGTCAGCCAGGTTTCAAAAGTTTTTTATTTGTTGTCTTGTTTATTTCTTAAAAATATATAGGTTCTAGTAGATTAGTTGTTCATTGGCATTAATCACCTTGGAACCATTTTAAGGTTTTTCACTATCCTTATCTAATTACTCTTAGAAGAAATGGAAAACTTTATTTTTCGGCAATTTGAGTAAGAAAACCAGAACAGATGTGCAGGTTAGAGGACCTTATATGAAATGTAGTTTCCCCTTGACAGTAGTTTTCTATACAATAGTTGTGTCTTTGACTCTGAGCTTCCCAATAGCCCACACTGAAAGAAGCAATAAGACTGCTTACACTGTCTTATTATTTTTTTTTTAGATTTATTTGTTTATTTATACAAGCTCTGGGTACAGTCAGAAGCGCGGAAGGGTGAGAGAATTCACCAGAGCCAGAGCAGGGAGCAGAGCAGCAGAAGGACGGAAGTACACTGCTGAGGGGAGCAGCGGGCGGCAGGAGAGGTCTGTGCGCCATGTGGGACCCTCCTCCGGTGGCCGGGGAGCAGCCGGGGATCCAGCCGGCGCTGCAGAGGCTGCAGGCAGCTTCGCAACCCAGCGCTCAACCGCTGCGCCACCGGGGAGGCCCCACTTACACTGTCTTGATTTCTATAGTGGAGAAATCCAAGTTCTCACAGGAAAGCAAAATTATTCTTTGCACCTGGCTTCTTTAAGAATCCAGAAAATGGTTCTACTACCTTGCAGTAATCCAGACCATTTAGTCTGTCATTCAGTCTTCATTGAATGTTGGCATTAGAGAAATTTTTAGGGAATGGAAGCTGTAGATCTGGATTCTAGACGTGATCTTT